TAGTATCTAATACATGATAGGTGTGTAATAAATATTTGCTATCTAAATCAGTGAGTAGAGAACAAGTCAGTATAACTTTTCTAGAAGGTACTTTGGCCCTCTTGCTATAAAAATATTCGTACCTTTTGAACTAGTTATTCCATTTATAAAAACATAGAATTTTTTAAAAAATCACTGAGGCACACCAAAGGATATTCATTCTAATCACATGTAAAACAGCAAAATTTTAGGATAAATAAAATATTGGGTATTTAAGGACTGAGTACTAAGCAGCCATTAATGTTTTTTTAGAGAATATACAATAATATGGGAAACGGTTAGTTGAAAAATATAGTAGGATATACAAAATGCACAATTTAATCTAATATTGTTTTACATACGAAAAAATGCCAAAAGGAAATTGATCAGCATGTCAACTGCAACTTCAGTTGTCTCTGGTGGATTACAGCTGATTTTCTCTTTTATATTCTTTTGATGAAGATAAAATTTGTTTAATGATTTTTTTTGCTTCTATTTTAATTTTTCTCACATTTTTTATTGGTGCTTTGTAGTTATTTTATAGTTAGTTTTATTGGTGCCTTATATAATGGTGGGGTTTGTTTTTACATATTTAAAATTCCTTTTCTAATCAGAAAATAAAAACAAAAACCAAGTTATGATCTTTTTAAAGATGGAAATGGTTGTTACAAGTTTCCTTCAGCTAAATAGTGGTTCTCAAACTTAAATGTCTATTAGAATTACTTGGATAGTTTGTGGAAAGAGATTGTTGCCTCTATTCTCACTCTTATTTAGTTTTGGTTGGGTTCAATAATTTGCATCTTTAACAAGTTACTGGGCTAAAAGATAGCAACAGAAAATGGCTACAAGGAATAGTGAAAATGATGTGGGTTTTGAGGTTAGTCTAGTTCTGATTCTGGCTCTGCCCTTGAAGGCTGTGTGGAACAAAATTTGACACACTTTAACCTTGCTCAGACTGTTTACACATTGATAAAATAAAAGTAACATATCTCATAGGTAGGTGTATTGCTAAAGTTAAATGATATGGTTAAATATCCAACACAGTGCCTGACTTAGTTAAGGTCCTTAAATCTTTGATTTCCTCTAAAGATGGTAGTACATCTTTTCCACAAATGAGTTTATAGTCACGTGTTTAGCCACACTACAGATCAAATCATTTCCTCTAAACCTAACAAGACATACACATCCATCTTCTATGAATAAAATCTTCATTGTTCATCTATAAAAACTGGGGATAGGGGCTGGGGCTGCAGCTCAGTGGCAGAGTGCTTGCCTAGCATGTGTGAGGCACTGGGTTAGATCTTCAGCACTATATAAAACAAAAGAAAACAAAAAAGACATGCTGTTCATCTACAACTACCATTTTTTTTTTTTTTTTTTAAAGACCAAACCAAACCAAAACAAAACAAAAAACAAACTGGGGATAGCTGGGCACCGTAGTGCCTGTTTGTAATCCCAGTGATTTGGAAGGCTGAGGTAGGAGGATAACAAGTTCAAGGCTTGCCTCAGCAATTTAGCCAGGCTCTAAGCAACTTAGTGAGACCCTGTCTCAAAATAAAAAATAAAAAGGGCTGGGATGTGGCTCAGTGATACAGAGACTCTTTTCAATAACCAACCCTCCCCTTTCAAAAACAAACAAACAAACAAACAAACAAAATTGGGGATAACGGGCCTGGCCTGGTGGCACACGCCTATAATCCCAGCTACTTGAGAGGCAGAGGCAGGATCACAAATTTGGGGCCAGCCTCGGCAACTTGGAAAAACCCTTTTTCAAAATAAATAAAAACAACTGGGGATGTAGCATAGTGTTGTAAGCACCCCTGGGTTCAATCCCTAGTACTGAAAACTAAAACAAAAGTGGGGATAACAGTATAAGAGTATCAAAGTAGATTTTTTATATACTTTTATTTTATTTATTAATTTTCTTGTGGTACTGATTGAACCTAGTGTTTCATATGTGCATGGCAAGTGCTCTATCACTGAGCCACAATCACAGCCTCAAAGTAGATTCTTAAGTAGTATAACAGTACTTCAATACTGCTTTACTATGGGTAGATAACAGTACCCACTTTGCTAGGATGCAGCCATGAGGATTAAACAAGATAATATGTCAAGTGCTTTAGTAAAAGCAGTCACCGAGGTATGGAAGATACATAGTAAATGTCAGTTTCCTTTTCTATTCCCTTTAATTGGTAATTTAACTACAATATTTCCTAGACCTATTTCAAAAGCTCACCTGATATAGAACACTTCAAATCAGTTTTTCTACCTGAGATTGCTCTTTTGTGTCACAGATAATTTGAAATCAATTAGTTTTATATCAGTATTGGGAAGAGCACATTGAAACAATTGTAATAATAGATGTTCAAGGGCATAACAGTAGAAGACTGTTCCCTAACTTTGAGATACCTGATTGAGGTGACTATATGAAAAGTTGAATAAGAATGCAAAGCAGAGTTGGACAAATTATACAGAAAGAAGTGTTGTAGAAGTCTTGAGATTACAGAGGCTGATGTGTGATTAGTTTATACTCAGGAAATAGACAATTACTCAAGAGTTGTAAGAGAATTCTAGTTTTAAGGCTGAGAAAATAGATGGTGAGGTCTCAGTGATCACAGATATGGAGTGACAGAGGTTTCCTGTCTTCTGGTTCTATGCTACTTGTAGATAGGTTTTTAACTATATTAAGGTCTTTTAATCAGTTTTTATGTTTGCTCTTTCTAGGTAGAGAACTCAGTGTAGACAGTTAAGAGCTGAGCCCATGAAACCAAAACATGTGGGTTTGAATCCTGGCTTTGTCAGTTGTTAGCAAGTTCATTTCCCTGTCTCTAAAATGAGTTTGAAAATAATACCCTATTTCATAGGTTTGTTGTGAGGATTAAATAACCTAATATATATGAAGCAAGGAAATCTGTTGATTTGTCATTTTAATTGTTACTAGAATCTTGGAGAGAATGAAAGGCAAGGAATCTAGTGTTTTTGTTTTTTTTAAACCACCTCACTCAGATTCTGATCAAAGCATCCAAAGCTACCTTAATCCTATTGGAAGTTTTTGTAGCTCTGAAGTGAGATTTGAGATCTATATAAACCTGACCTTGGTCTGGTACTAGGAAAGTTGAGGAAAGTGAAAAATTGACATAGCAACAGGACCTAACAGATTTTCTTTTAAAAAAAGTTAGTCAAGACTAACAGATGAAAAAAGATGGGGGTCAACAAGCTTTCCCATCTATTTTAAGATCTGTTCCAAACTTACTTTGACAAAAATTTAGCCTTTTAAGGAAGGTGCAGAGAACATGCCTCCGTGGGCTTGCTCTGAGGGAATGTTTTAGCAGGTGCTGCATTTCACCCTGGAGGTGGCTGCATGAATTTGTGAACTGAGGTGGCAACACTGACTCTCTCCGGAAGAGAAGATGTTATCTCTACTCAGGGAGTTTAATTACAGTGGCACTACCTGAAACCAGAAGCCGCAGCAGCAGCGGCGGCCGCCACCACTAGCCCAGCCCAGCCCAGCCCAGCTCAATATTCAGATCAAGGAAAGCAAGAACCATTCCCCGCCCCCCCCCACCCCCCTGTTGGGGCACCCTTCTCTATTCTCCTCAAATACCAGCTGAAGAAATTCTGGGACGAATAACAAGCCCAGAGGGCTGTCGCAGCATTAGAGTGAACAGGTGGAGGTGAGAAATAACCTATATTCACAGATCAGAAAAATTATGGAATTTTTTTTGGGGGGGGGGCGCGGAGGGGGCAGGGATTCGGTATCATCAGGAAATCTAGGGACAGAAGGGCACCAAGCGCCTCCCAAATCTTCTGCATTCGACCGAGGCAAATCACACAGCCCACCCCCGCCTTCGGCAAGCAGGCGATTTCAGGGCAAAATAAACAACAGTGGAAGAATTTTGAAGGTCTGGCTAGGGATGGGGTTAGTGAGGTTCAGGCAAACCCATAGCCTCAGCAAAGGTGGAAGAATTGAGGGTCACTGGGGGCTGATAAGCCCCGCAAACTTTGAGGTCGAAGCAACGGGCGCTCTTCCCCAGGATGTGCCCTGAACCCAGCCTTGAGCAGTCTGTCGGTTTGAATCTCGCCTGCAGATTTCCGGAGGAGAAGCTGACCAGGCAGGCGTTCTTTCAGCGCCTACCTCGGAGCTGACCGTCGAGCCGGCTCTATCACCTGGGAGCAATAGTACCTTTCGAACTCGGGGCGGGGTGGGGGTGGGGGGGCGAGCACCGGCTTTCTCTTAGGGCTGGAGTTCCGATGTGGCATGAACCCACTGCTAGCACCGTGTTCCCATCCCCTCTCTCCTCCACCTTCTGCTCAGGTGACGTCTGGAAGCCCCGCAGGCCCAGCTTGGGGCTAAGCGGTTAAGCCGCGTCCTTCAGGTGTCAGCCTCCATCTGTTTGGAAACCACAACCCCCAGAGTCCCTTGTGCCAGGAGGCCAGGCCGCAAGTAAGATGGCTCCAGAAGAGTGGAACATGCAGTAGCGGGGAAACCTAGCCCCTGGCAGTTTTTTTTTACCGGATGTGTTTAAATAACCGAATCCCTACTTCTGCACCACCCCACTAACCATCTTCGAGGCCGCGGAGTCCACGGTCGGCGCCACGCCCGCTCCTCCCAGGCGCATCCTGGGAGTTGTAGTCCAGCTGCCGGGCTGCGCTGAGCTATCTTTCCCAGGGTGCCCTGCGGCAGGGCGATAGCAACGTTCTTTTTCAAGACTCTTTCTGCACTGAGACCCCCTTCTCCGGTTTTCTTCTCGTCACCGACTCCTTCTTGTCTGTCGCGACCGAGGAGCGGCCGTAGACGCGGGCCAGCCGGGCCGCGCCGCCACGAGAGGCACTTCCGGCGGCGGTTCACTTCCTGGTTGGGTGGATGGAGCCGGGCGGGAGCGCGCGCGGGGGAGGGGCGGCGGGTCAGTCTCAGCAGAGCGCTCCGGGAATCAGCTGGCGGGCGGGCAGGCGCCGAACGCGGCCGGGGCTCTGGCTGCAGCGCCGCCTCCTCTCAGCGTCGCAGGCCGGCACGGCGGCCGTGACAATGTTGCGGGGCTGGTAGCTGGGCGCCGGCCGCCGAGCCATCTCAAGTGGGTGCCGCGGGGATGCTGCCTCTCGGGGCAGCTGCCTCTCAGGGCGGCGGGGGGTTCGGGGAGGAGGGGGAGGCAGTGCCCGGCAGGGTCGGCGCTGCCCAGGGCGGCCCGAAATCCCTTCTTTCTCGGAGCCCCGGGCCACAGGGATCTGGGGTTCTGGGACTGGGGATGCGTTTTCAGCTCTAGGGTTTTTCTCGCTAGGAAAATGCATGAAGCCTAGATGATGGCTTTTGCTACCCCTAGGACTCAGCAGTTGAATTTTTAAGTGTGTTACTGATTCATCTTTTCTCTCTCTTCCTCTGTCATCACAGGTTTAAACTTACGCGAATCGCTCTCTGGAGGAGGAGGAGGAGACCCGCCGCGCGATTGACACGCATATTCCTATAGGCATCCTCCTTCAGCCCCCACCCCCACGGCCGGATTCGGGTGGCTCCTCTCGGAGCTGAAATCCGAGAAGAAATCCTTAGATCTCTTAAAAAAAAAATCTAGAAACCATCGGTATTTTGCTTTCCTGCTTCCTATTTGCAAGATGAAGAAGTTTTTCGACTCCCGGCGAGAGCAGGGCGGCTCTGGCCTGGGCTCTGGCTCTAGTGGAGGAGGGGGCAGCACCTCGGGCCTGGGCAGTGGCTACATCGGGAGGGTCTTTGGCATCGGTCGACAGCAGGTCACAGTGGACGAGGTGTTGGCCGAAGGTAAGGTGGAACTCAGTGCTCCGTAAATTAAAAATCTTGTGCTGATGTGGCAAGACTCTGGTTTCTAGTTGTTGAATGTATGAATGGGTTTTGACCAGTTGACCCTCCCCTTCCCCCTTCACTTTCCCTGTGAGTCATTGTCCTTGAGAGATTTAAAACTGAGATTGGAAGTGACAGAGCTTAAAGGGGTAGGGGTTGCCGAAATTGTTTACCTCACTGGCTTTTTATTTAAGAAAAAAAGCGTTGAAAAATCACCATGGTTCCCTTACCAAATTATGCAGATCATATGTGCAAAAGTGTAAAGCTTCATATTTAATGTGGGGTGGTGGGCTTGTGATCTTCTGAAACTTGAAATATTGATGTCAATGCTGAAGGGTGGAGGTGGAGGGAATCTATAAGAAGAGAGAGGGGTTTCTTCAACCCAACTTTCCCACTTCCCTAAGCAGACATTTGAAAGGAAGACAGTATTTGGGGGGAATAGAAATGTATTTTTCCAAGGGCCAAGGCTCTTGGTGAATTTTACTAGGTTTGTTTCCTGACCCAATCAGATCCCTAGGATATAGCTAAGGTAACAAACTATGTGAAATGAATGTGACTATTTTGAATTCAGTCTTGGAGGCCCCTGTTCCTCCTGTTTTTATTAAGAAAAACTTGTGAGTGGCCCTGATTTTGTTTTCCCTCTATTGACCAGGATGTTTTTTTGGATCTGTGGAAATGCCTTGTGTGTGTGTTCATTTGTATATCTGTATCTATGTATATGTGTGGATATATGTCTTTATCTCCCAGGCTTTCGGGAAATCTTTGCCTGTCTCTTTTGATAACCTTAACCTCGACCTTCATAATTATGCCAGACTCATAGTTTTCACAGCTCATTGCCTGCTTAGTGTGCTTTTAATTTTAATAAAAGCAGCAATTTCCCTTGGCATGAAGCAATTCAAACTAATTGGATGGGGCCAACCTGCTGTAGGTTATGTTATAGACTGTGAGGTGTTGGGGAATGGGGAGGTCTCTATTACTGTAACATGGTGGTAGGGAACAGCTTATTAGCTAGGGAAGAGAGAAAGCTAAGAGGTCTCTTTAAAAAGGAGCCTTTTACAAGCTAAGGGTAAAACAGGGATCCCTACCTGGACCTAGGAAATGCCTGTCATGATATCATATAGGCTGGTGGGTAGGTTGGGAAGAGGGAGAATCTGTGTTTGTCTTGCAGCTTGTATAACCACTGGATTCAACAGGGCCCAGTTTCTGGGGATAGGTTTGAAACCAGCACTTGAAAAACACTATTAAAAAAAAAAAAGGTACCTGACACCTAATGTCCTTGTGAAATTATTGCTCTTTTTTATTCTCAGTATTGCTTTAGCTGGACTTAATTTGGGGCCTGAGTCACTGTCCCTCTGGATCCTTCCTTGTGGGCTTTGGTGCAGGATGGGAGATGCTTCTGTGCCCACTGCCAGATCTGTACCCTTGAGTCTGATATGTCTATTTCATCTCTGTGCCAAAGCCCTTGACTGCAGAGGGGTGAAGAAATAGAGAAGTGTGTGTGAGGGAGAGATCAGGAGGAATGAGAGAGTTCTTTCCTCCCTGCTAACCTTATAGCCCAGGAACATATTGTTTAGCTTAGATGTTATCTCATGGATAGTGTTGCCCTAAGTGATGCCCATTCTCCAAGTCTGAGAAGAGAGATGGGGAAGAAAAAAAAGGCAGAATTGGTCTTCGTTATCTAGGCTGCCGTCCTCTGTCCTGGAATTCATCCCTGAGAATGGTGCATCATACCTTATGATGTTTTTAAGCAGAACTTAAGGCTTGCAGCTCTGCATTCATTTGTTTGTTTATTCATTCAACAAACAATTATAGAATGCCCATAATGTGCCTGGCATCATGCTAGGCTCTGGAGACATGATGTTAAACCAGATATAAGAGTTTACAAACTGCTGTAAGAGATGGAAAATAGCCAGATATAATAGAGTGATTAGTGCTATCATGGAGGTATGCTTAGGGTGCAGTGGCTGCCAATTTTTTTTTGGGGGGAACCCAATTTTTAGGGAGCCAAGAACTGTTGCCTGGAGAAAGTGACCAAAGAATGAGTAGGCGTTAACCAATGTGGTGGCAGTATGGGCAAAGACTCAGTAGCAGAGAGTGTCATGTAAAATTGGGTCTGGCAGTGTTGTTCTTAGTGTTCTTTGACTGTAATTGAGTTTGAATTTGTGGCTTTAGAAATATGTAGATATGTGGGAGTTAGTATACAAAGTGTTTATGTAGTGCCTACCAAGACCAAAGGCACTTCTGAGTTCTGAATGGGATGAAAGATGTCTAACATGTGAAATCTGCCTTTATGGAGCTGCCAGTGAATTTGGGAAGATAAGATATACACTGATCTGTACAGTAGTATGGTTTTTAGCACTGTAGAGTTGGACAGGTCTAGGTTCAAGTTCTGGATCAGTTCTTTACCAGCTGTGGAACTTGGACAAAACATTCTAAACCTGTCTTGAATCTGTTTCCCTATGGCAGTGTTCTTAAAGCTTGGAGCCCTTATCATGAATAGTGTCATCACCTGGGAGCTTGTTAGAATTACAGATTTGTAGGCCTCACTCCAGAGACTGTGGGTGTGGGGCTTTAACAAGTTCCTAGGGAGATTTTTGGGAACCACTGCTCTGTGAATGGTCTTGAGGATTAAATAAGGATGTATGTTTATATACACATAGTATTTAACATTTTTCAGGTGGTCAATAAATGATAGCCACTGTTTGCCATCAATAATATATATATTTAGTTAAAGGGAATGTATGTCAGTGTGAGGGCTATTTTGGCTGTTGCAATCCAAAGCTTTTTCCCCATTGTGGGTGGGCTGATCCAGATGTTCTTTGCAAAGGTCTCATTAGCTCATTAAAGGATCAACAGATAAATGTTGGGTAGTCACAGTCCTTCCTTGGCCCCTCTTCTCTGAGTCTGTAGGTGCTCACCTATTTACCAGTCCCAGCCAGAGTTGTTTAAGGACAATGAGAGTTATATACTATATGCCCAGGGCAGTGATCAGGCAGTTTAGGGAGTTTGGTGTGGGGAAGGCTTCAAAGAGATTTGATTACCACCACATCCTATTGAGTATTTCTTTTTCCCTAATGTGGGTATTGGTCTGTGCTTCATAATGAGGAATTGAAAGAACCCTAAGAAACAGATGCTAGGTAAGACAGGAGAATTCTGGGTTGCTATCTCTCTCTCAGTTGCATTAACCTTGCTCTTCTGATTCACTAAGTATTCCAGAAGGGACACAGCTGTGGGTAGGGGGAAGTGAAGGCTTTAAGTCTTGAGTTAGCTATGGGTATCTTCAGGCAGGGTGCTGGGGTGGATACTTTCTAACTTTCTTAGTGAAGATGCTATTATGAGATGCTAAGTCATGTCTGAGTTAATGGGCATGTGATATCAAGGGAAGGTTTGGTTTAATCTTCCAGAATGAGCTCAATGGGAGAATTAGAGCAGTGCTTAAAGAAGGACTGAGAATTGGTGCTTTTGTTGTATTTCCTTAGCTATATGAGTCCTTATTTCTAAGCTTTAACAACAAGGAAGTGTTGAATGCCTGCTGTGTCCGATACAACATCCTTGAGCTGTATCAGTTCTGAATAAGGTGGACAGCTGGCTTCTTAGAAGGGTTTTATCGCCTAGACCAAAAGAACCTAGGTCCAGTGCTAATGATAACTAAGATGCCCTATCAGAGAACTAGTAATTTCTCCTATCTGTAGAATAATGTAGTGGGGCTTAAAAATGTGTGAACCACCAAGAAAAAAAATTCATATATGGCATATAATTCAAACACATTGGTAGTATTGATATGAGGCATGTATGTACACATCTTGTAAACATTTATTTGTGCTTCTTTGTGGCAGGCACTGTGTTAGATTTCAGAGACAATAAATAGGTTGGATGGGGCATGGACGAGTAGACCAATAAGTAGCAAATAACCCTGAGATAAGCATCTAATACTTAGCATGGGCCTTGGCATGTGGTAGATATTAAGAGATGTTAAGATGATAAAGAGAAGGGGTCTGGGGATGAGGGCCCCTAGATGATGGAAGTTTTGAACAAGAATGGAAATTACCCAGCAGATGTTCCAGCTCGGGGTTACCCAAGGACTTCTAGCCAGAGGCAGTGCATATGCAGAGGTGTAGAGTGGTGAAACAAAATCAGCTTTGGGAATACTGACTTAGTTTAATGTTAACATTTGGTGTAAGTTTCCCTCCATAATCAAGGAAAGGACATAAAGTGGTAGAATGAAATTCCTTTACATTTGCTCTCGAAGGTACATTTGAATGTGTTTGCTGCTTACTTTCTTCAGTGGCCCTGGGCCTTTTGAAGAATTATCAAATCTCTACAAATAAGTGCTGTTCCTCTACTGTGCCTCAGTCCTGTGCTAATTGTGGGGAAAGGGAACAGCTAATATCTGGGGAAGAGGTGTTCTAGAAGTGTCCTAAGAGGCAAGAAGCTTGAAGCAGAAGCAGGCAGGTGTGGGGAGATGGTGTAGGTAGGGAGTGATAAAATGACCACTGTTATGGAAAGGACTGAGCAGGGTGACTGAGGATGTTTGACTAGACAGAAGGTCTGTTGGCGAGACAAGAAAGAAATTAGTTTGTGGAGAACCTTGAGAGCCAGGCAGAGATTAGTTATAAGCACCTGAGGCCTTCTCTTGACGCAAGTATCAGTTTGATCCCTCCCACTTCAGATGTCTTTGCCTGCTGGGAAGTCTGGTTTTTTAGAGGCAACTGCAGATTTTCAGGGGGTGGTTTGAGAATGGTGTCTTCTTCCTGGCTTCGGGTATGATGACGATTATAGCTTTGCTAAATATAGCCAAATCCAAAATTCAGAAATGAAGTCCAGAATAAGCATTTGCCATGGTCAAAGCCTTTTTGTTGGTCTTTCTAACGAAGTCAAGCTCATTTAATGAGAGATAATGAAGAGAGAACACATGGGTTTTGAGTGGGACAGTGTGGGGGAAGGCATATAGTTGTACGTCA